TTGTAAAAAAAATCCTTAAGGTTGCCATGATCACAAAACAATATTTCTACTTGAAAATCAGCAGGGGTTAACGGTTGCCATAGGAACAGTGGGTGTTGGTGAGAAGCTGAAAGGTGGCCAGGTTATAGAGGAAGCCCCCTGGGGCTATTCGCTTCCTGACTGGGAATGTAATTAGAGAGCTTTCCGTGTCCCTGTAGGAGGTGAGGCTGTTTATGACATAGCTCGAAAATACTTGAGCTCCCCTGTGAGGCTAAAGCTCTTTGTATAGAGTTGCTGTGCACGTTTGAAATTATCTGCAGAAGGAAGCCTATAGTCTCTAGGGAAATTATGTTAGGAGAAACAGCATGTATATTCCCTTGCTACCGACACCATAAAGCTTTTGATGGATATTCATTGTAAAATATCACAATTTTCCATTAGCATATGTAATATTCTAAATATAGCAAATCAGTTCATAACTAAACATACCTATAAACATTTATTTTTATATCTATGAATTTGGCTATGTAATTATAAATTGTTTTATAATAGTTGCAGGTATATATAGGTATATATATATATATATATATATATATATATATATATACGTATATATATATACATGTAAAATTTGTTCTTATTGGCAAACATATATTATCTACCTGCTCTTTTTATTTTCTAGTATACTCTTATATAAAGTTTTTATAACAAATATTGTCTCAAGAAATTAAAAATATCACAATGAATAAGATCAGATGTTTAAAATAGGTATTCTATTAAACATGCATTATGCAAGAGCAAAATCTGCTTATTACAAGTCTTTCTTTAGGCCTGAAATGTTATCTAAATTATCAATTAGACATTAATTAACTTATCCAGACCATAATAAACTCTCGATGTCAAGGCTAGCCTTCGATGTAGGCTGGATTAGATTCCTATATGCCGCTAACGGCCAAAGATAATTAAATCAGAAAAAGTGGATAATCAAGACTATGCTTTTTATATTAATGATTTTAGTAATGATAACCGAGACTATGCAAAAATTTCATCCGCTTCTTTCTTGGCTCATAGTGGATGAATTTGACTGAAATTTTCAGCAAATTACCTTTACACTATCTAGTTTTTAACTATTATAGCGAGAACTGCCATCTCTTTATCTTATCTCCCATAATGTATCTTTAAATATATATGTAATGAAATGAAATGGGGTTTAACATTATGAAATATGTGTAGAACAGGAGAATAATCAGTTCAATGTATATGCTGTCTGTCACATCAGAAATCGTATTAGCTTTTTTTTGTCTATATCAATGTTTAAACTAGAACCTAACTTCCTATTAAATAAGGTCGCACAGGATACCCCCTAGGGAGGCTACAGTTTGGACTTACTATGTCACTGAGTTAACTATTGTTATGTTAGGAGGTAGTCAGGGGGTGGTTTCAACAGGTGTAAATTTTAAAGGAAATAAATCAGTTTATCATTACCATAACACTTGGGGTATCACATCACCTGAATTAGCATATTTCAACAACAAAGCACCATTAAAAAAAATCAGCTGTTAAAAGATATGCTACACATAAATCTATTAAGTCATTGTTTAAACTTAACACAATTTTAGTTTTAACAAACTACCTTTTTATATGGTCCATCATTTCAGATATACCTTTAGTCTGTAGAATGCAATAAGCATACCAGATTAAATATTATAAGTAAATTGTTACTTCCTTTGCAGAAAAAAAGTTTTAAACAAAAAAATAAAAATACTTATCATTCAAAAAGTTTACGGAAAGATGTCCTTGGTACATATTGATATTGCTTATAAATTTGTAATCTTCAACTAATATAATTGAAACATTAAACCCTGTACAAAATGACTTTTATGTTCTGTAAACTAGAGGGTTGTGTGATCATGATTAGCATGTATGGTATATGCATTTGAACTGATTAATTACTTCAAATGACTTAATGAGGCAATGTATCAGATTCTCATCAATATCATTCAAAGTTTACCCACAATAGAAAATATGGTAGAAAATTATTAGGTTTTAGAATAAAAACTTCTCATAGGTCATAGAAACTGTTAAAATTTTATAGTAATCACATCAAAGATTATTTTATTTTTTATTCAACATCAAAACTTATTTTACAATTATTACATCTTTCCCAACAGAGTGACAAGTTATCTCATGCAGAAGTTTTTTTTCTTTCAACTCTGTACATGTCTTTACAAATTCAATAGAGAGATAATCACCATTAATTTTAGAAGTATCACACTGACGATTTAATGATTTAATCCATCAGAAATTGATGGTTATAATACATGCCATACCTACATTAACTTTTTTGCAAAATTATTATTAATACTGGTAGTTATTATCAGAATCAGGAATGTTTGAAAATTAATAGGATTCCTATTTGTACATGAAGGTAGTTGAGTTTGACCTTTTATTAAGAAAGGTATACCATTGCTGGAGTTAATACTTATGCTGGACCATGCCCTACTATAACAAGATTGCCTAAGAAATTTATAAATGGTTCAAATAAAAAAGAAACAAGATAATCATCAACATCCCACGCCCTTGCACTTGTTTGGAAGGCATAAGGAAAAACAACTTCTTTATGTTATTGGTAATCAATACAAAAATATATCAGATTAATCTCATATTCCAACACATGGAATATCAATGGGATTAGTCAGAAATTCATACTCTGATCACAGTAGCTCATCAAAGCAGGGTGGCAACTACCTGTAAGGTTTGCACAACAACCTTTGCCTACCTCAATCACCTGCTATATGTCAAACAATAAGCTTATACATCTGAAAATGAAATACTATAATGGGTTGATGTTTGTACAAAGTTTCAAAGAGATTTCTGGAACGGATACTGAAATATACTCCGGAAACAAAATCGGGACAGAAGGACACAAAAATGATTAAATCCGAGAAATCCCAAATTACTATAATAGTTTGATGTTTGTACAAAGTTTCATGAAGATATATCTTGAATGGTTTATGAGATATGCTCCGGAAACAAAATTGTACACCCAAAACTAAGTGAAATTTGTTTCCATGAAAACACAAAATAATATAAAGCCAAGAAATTCCTCATTAGCAAAAGGCACACCTACTGTTATATGTTGATGAATGTACAAAGCTGCATAAGGAAACACAAAAAATATTAAATCCAAGAAATTCCAAATTAACAAAAGGCACAACTATATAATAGGTTGAGGTGTGTACAAAGTTTCATGAAGATATCTTGAATGGTTTATGAGATATGCTCCAGAAACAAAATTGTACACCAAAAACTAAGCCAATTTGTTTCCATGGAAACACAAAAAATATAAATCCAAGAAATTCCTGTAATATTTTGATATGTATACAAAGTTTCATAAAAATATCTTGAAGGTTTATGAGATATGCTTCGGAAACCGACATACCCCATTTCAATATCACTCCCTAACTTCGTTCTCGCAGGATAAAGACAAATTAGTTAGCTAAAGATCTGCTATATCACCCTCTGGCTGGGTGTTGAATCCATTTCTTTGAATAGACACTTTATCCAAGTCTTAAAAATTAAGAACAATCAACAGGCCATAATATATTAGTTAAATATAGAGATTAAAAACATACATTATCAAAAGGCTACGACCATATAAAATAGGTTTCTGCTGATTTTATACAACCATCTTTATGTGTCTTAGGCAAAAAAGTAATAATTATTCTTCTATCTTACATAATAACACCAGTCTTTACATTAAAATAATATATTTTTGACTTTGAGACATATAAACAATTGGAATGTGTATTTAATAGCAAAAAATTATGTAGCAAACATACTAGTCAAAAGGGAGCAAAGACATTATATTGTGTCATCAGACCAGGGGAATAAAAGTGGTGTAGTGACTCTCCAGAATCAGATAAAAGATGTTGAAATTACATTTAACTTTTTAAACTTAGGAGCTCATCACCAAAATGTTTTTGCAATCACCCTAATATGCAACCATTTCAGTGCCCAGGCAATTGTCGTCACAACTGTATACTGCCTGGAAACATGTGTAAGGGAACTTAATACAATGCCAGTCTTATACCCACCTGTTCATTGATATAAGTAGATTTCGGACAATTACATAGAACTAGAGTAAAACATTCATAACAGTTTTTTCACATAAATTTGACCAGTTTTTTTCACAAAATAAATTGAATTTGACTGGACATGTGCTGTTATAGATGAGAAACTTCAGATTGACCTCAATCTGATTAAAATACAGATCTATATCTCATTACGTTTTTTTATACTTTCGATGGCCTACACTACATGAAGATCTGACCGGTTGTAGCGATAGGTCGTGTCAGAGGTCATACGAGTGGCTTTTGACCCTATGACGTCAGAAATTTGATTAACCAATCAGCATTGATGTTACTAGTAGATTACCCACAGTTCTGTGAAAAACACGCCTAAAGGTCGCTGTAACATACCGTTTGATTGGCTTATTCCTCACACCATACAGAACACGTCAATGACAAGTAAAAGTAAATTTTGAACTATAAAAACGAAACCAAATAGGATCAGGGCCCTTATTCACGAAAACTTAAACTAAGATACAATCAAAATTTTAAGAAATACTGCAATTCGATTGGCTGACCAGTAAAATCAATTTGCATATATCCAATGAAGTTGCAGTATTTCTTAAAATTTCGGTTGTAACTTAGTTTAAGTTTTCGTGAATAAGGGCCCTGTATTTTAATCAGATTGGACTGACCTGGGTTTAAAAATCCTAAGAATCAATTGGCCATGGTCCTTTATGTTCTATATTCTTGTTGAGTTTAATCTATTTAATATTGAATGGTAGCCTCCCTGTTTTAAAGGAGCTGATTTGGGCCATGGGTATAAATAGTTACGCATCATGGTTATGCCAACATGGAAATGTGGAAAATGTGAATGTTGAATCATTTTTATGGGTAGAGGGAACCATCGAAAAATATTGTTTAGAGAAAATAAATTATTTTTCAACTTACCACCCAAACATTCATAATTTCTGTGATCCATAAATTGATTGAGACTTGTAAACGTGGCATAACAACATTCACATCGGAATACTTTGGGTGTAGCTGTGGATATTTCTTCATCTGATAAATCTGTATGACCAAATATGTACGCTTTTGTTGATACAATACCATCACTTGGACCTACTGCAACATCATCTCCATTCTCATCTAAAACAGTAGAATTTTCAAAGGAAATGACACTACTCTAATTAAATCCAATTATGATTGAATAAGTATGAACTAAAGCCATTTTTAGAGTGATATTTGATCTGTCCTCTTCCCTGGCCAAATTCTTTAATTATTTAAACAGGTTGAGTAAATTATTAACTTGTAAAATGTGTCAGTTTTCTTTAGTCAATAGGATAGTCCTAATCATTTAAAGAATGAAATGGGCTTTATAATGTCTTGACATATGTAGGCCTAAAAAACATCTGACTATATAGTATAATACCTACCATTTGAGGTCTGCAATATATCCGTTAATTTACATTCTTCCGTAACTTTTACTGCTGTATTCAACTGAATGTCTTCATCATCTATAATGAATGACATTAGAACTAAAATGTAAACACTGGCTGGGAATGTGGATTAATATTAAAGTCGTTGATCGTTATTTGTATTTGTTGGACAATATCTAATTTTCACGGCTTAATAAACCACGCTTAAATGTACTCACATCCATTCATTTAATCAAGAAAGCAAAATGAAAATGTCATCAGTAGATAAAATCCCAGCTTGGATTTAATTGGATTCAAAAGAGACCCATCAAAATATTTCAGCAAACATTGTAGGTGAGTTGGCAGTGGATGTCAAATGTTCACAAATTTTAAATTCATCATATTTTTGTGGCTTAAAGATACATTATGGGAGATTCGATAACGAGTTGGCAGTTCTCACTATAATAGTTAAAAACTAGATAACGTAAAGGCAATTTGCTGAAAATTTCATTCAAATTGATCCACTATGAACCGAAAACTAAGCGAATGAAATTCCTGCATAGCCTCGGTCATCATTACTAAAATCAGTACGATAAACAGCATAGTCTCGATTATCTATTTAATCGAGAAGGAAAGTTATGCAGTAAATCGGCTCACAATCCACTTAAGATCGCAGGCTAGCGATGCCATCTAGAGTTGATTATGGTCTGGATAAGTTAATTAATGTTTAATGAATAATTTAGATAACATTTCAGGCCTAAAGAAAGACCTGCAATAGACAGATTTAGCTCTTGCATAATGTATGTTTAATTAAGGCTGAACCATGATATTATTCCTAGAGATTCAATTTTCACAGCATTTTAGTTTGTAAGGGATTCAAAGCCCCTCAAATGATGATCATCAGAGACTTCTAAAACAGTACATGTTTTGTAATGATAACAAATAATGTACGTATGTAAAAAGAAGGGGTATTTAGTTTCTTTTGATTTAGATTCAAAACAATGACTATTTCTTAATGTTTGAAGTTAATACCCTACAAGAATATGGTAAGTTGATACAATGTGGTTGATATCTTCTATGCTGCACATAAAATTGCTGTTATCGCAAAAAAATGAACAATTTTGTGCCACAACAATCTATATTATTGAAGATATGGTATTTTTATACCTATTCTACCCTTAGAAATAGCAATTGGTAAATGTGAAACAATGTTTTATAAATGGGTATATATACTATATAATTTACAGCTACCTTCTTAATCGTAATTATGAATTTAAAAACAAAATAGTTTAAAAATTTTAACTGGTTAACTAAACTTAAAGTGTTAAAATTACTTTTCATTGGGCCAAATAAAAGTTCCAAGTTCTAAAAATAAATCGTTTTACATTACGTGAAAAGTGTTTGAATAGGTCTATGTTACTGGTTATACAGCACTGGGAATATTCAGACATCCAAATCCAATGAAATACAATGGTAAATATATTTAATAAATTTGACATTTTCGCCGGTGGATAATTAATTAATCTTATCATTGTACTTACTTTTGCACGATTTCGGTCGCGCCTGTTTCCTTCGCGACATTTTCCCCTTCTTAGCTGTTAAAAAGGAAAGCTGAGAATGAATCTCTACAGATCGTCTAGCAAACCATACAAAGCTGTTTTCCCTGAAAACCTAGCCGCCGCATGTGGGCCAAGCTACGTCAGAAAATGAATATTGAATTGCCCGGGAACTAACAACACCCATGAGGCCACCCCCTGGGGACTCAACCTTTTTAGCTCAGTCATAGCTCTGCCGCGTGATTGGAGCGTACGATTCAGGCTCCCTGGATTCTGCTAAAATCAACTAGGACACGTCTCTAGGGATTACCTGTCGATAAATTTCTAACTCGACGTCTCCAAGGGGGATACCAGGAACGCCGTGCAGAAATAATCTCATGTTCCCCTTGGGGGACATCATGACAGTCGTTCACATGCCATGCTAAAATTGTATATTGTGTGTGCTCATGCGCACAAAATCGTCTGCTTCAACACGAACAGATGAGATTTTCCATTGGTTTGTTTTCATTCTCGATGTGAGCTCTCTGTCTAACGGAGGAAGGCACTGTCGCATTATCGATAACGTTCGACAGACAGTCATTAATAAAGGGGAAACTACGCATTGTAAAGAAAAGTGCACGGAGATTAAAGTGATTACCGTAGATCAGGTTCTAAAAGGTGGAGGAGGAGGATGGGGGCGGCGAGTGGGGAGGGGGACAGCACTGTTACTAATAATACTATATCACAAATAGCCTACTGTCCTGAAATACTATAATCACTGGCCACGCAACAGTATGGGGCGCCGTTTGTAAAATAATTATTTAATGTTTTTTGCATAAAAAAAATTAAATAATTATTTTACAAACGGCGCCCCATACTGTTGCGTGGCCAGTGACTATAGTATTTCAGGACAGTAGGCTATTTGTGATATAGTATTATTAGTAACAGTGCTGTCCCCCTCCCCACTCGCCGCCCCCATCCTCCTCCTCCACCTTTTAGAAACTGATCTACGGTAATCACTTTAATCTCCGTGCACTTTTCTTAACTATTTAACTCCGAATATATATATTTAGATAAATATTAGAACAAAAATGGCATATATGTAAATATCAAAAAATATTGTAGCTAAAAGTCGAGTTTTTGGTCTATGAAAAACTTTAAATGTTATATCTTTATTTCACATCGCTTAGTTAAATATATAGCTAAATGTGCTGTTTTTCGTAGGTATAAATGCTAAATACTAAATCACTGAAAAATCTAAAGTTAAATATTTAGCTAAATATATAAACATTTAGCTAAATATATAAACATTTAGCTAAATATATAAACATTTATAAATATATAAACATTTAGCTAAATATATAACATTTAACTAAATATAAATATATAAATATATAAACAGTTAACTAAATATATATAATAAATATCATGCTAAATATATATGTTTAGCTAAATGTATAAATATTTAACTAAATATATATAATAAATATCATGCTAAATATATATGTTTAGCTAAATGTATAAATATTTAACTAAATATATATTTGTGGTCCCGCCAATATTTCTATTATCGTAAGCGACACAAAAAAACTGCGCATAAAATGATGACGTGTACCCGACACCTGAGCCTTGGCACAGTAGGCCTACTAGCAATTAGAAATAGAAGCTGGCCACGAACTTGTAACCCGAATCACGGCCGCGGTACTCCGTGCCGTTCGCACAGATCAAGGCAATGAAGACGTAGATAGTACTGTGTTGTGCAGTCAATGGAAAGTTGTACACTACGTCATCGTTTAGTGTGAAGTCGCTTACAACAATAATTATTTTACAAACGGCGTGGTACGGTTGCGCTCTGTACATTTAACTATATGTAAAGCTAAATATATAATTATTTAGCTAAATATATAAATATTTAGCTAAATATATATTATTTAGCTAAATATATATTATTTAGCTAAATATATAAATGTTTAACTAAATATATAAATGTTTAACTAAATATTTTAACATTTAACTAAATATATATTTAGCTAAATGTTTAAACATTTAACTAAATATTTAGCTAAATATTTATATATCATCAAATCTTTTGTTTTGGTCTTAATATTCAATGCTAAATGTTAAATATGAAAATAGAGACAAATCAAGAAATATTTATATATATTATGTTAAATATTGAGTTTTTGTTGTATTTTTAGTTTAAATATTAAAAGTGAAAAATTTGCACAAAAGTCGAGATTTAACTATATATATAAATTTAAATTAAATCTAGTGTTTTTTGCTATATAAAAAGCTAAATAATTAATTTACAAACGGCGCCCCATACAACAGACCTATTTTTTGGGACAATTTAAAAATAGAAAGGGGGCCGGGGGGCGATGTATATTCACTGTGCTTTATTGGTTAATCCATGGGAGTATCCCCCACTCACCGGTGAATATTCACTGTGGATTGATGTACACCACAGCAATATATACTATTCAAAAAAAGTAGGGGATATTTGATTTTTAAGTGTTATTAAAGTCACCTAATGAAACTGACGAAGAAACAAATGACAAAATGAAATGAAGTTCACATTCATCGATTTATTCCAAATGATCGTTAGACTAAGTAAGGCACAGACTGACCATTATAAGGGTAAAATGATACCCGGGGTCAAACAGCAAAGTTACCACAGCATCACAACCAAGTCAGTAACGGGTAAATCCTCCTCTGTTTGCCAAACAAGCATTGATCCGACGTGGCATACTCCTAATGAGACGTCTAAGGTCATTTTGGTCCAGATTGTCCCATTCCTGTTGCAACGCAGCAGCAAGTTCTTGGACATTGGCAGGACGTTGTTGACGTTGACGTAACCTCTGTCCAAGCATGTCCCAGACATGCTCGATGGGGGAGAGGTCGGGGCTCAGTGCTGGCCAAGGTAATGTGGTGATGTTCTGTTGTTGGAGGTAACCTGTAACGATCCTGGCCCTGTGACATCTTGCGTTGTCATCCTGGAAGATGAAACGGCGGCCATGGCGTCGTGCGAACGGCACAACATGGACTGCCAAGATGTTGTCCCGGTAGTACTGGCCTGTAACACGCCCTGCAACAACATGTAAAGCCGTTCTTCCAGCAACAGTGATGCCTCCCCACACCATAACAGAACCACCCCCAAATCGATCATGTCTGATGACGTTAACGTCTTGGAAGCGCTCGTTTCGACGACGCCACACCCTCCTACGTCTGTCCAAAAAATCAACAGTGAACCTTGACTCATCTGAAAACATCACATTGCTCCAGCGTCGATTATCCCAGTGTTGACGATCCCTACACCAACGACGTCTTGCCTGAATGTGATGATCTCTCAAACAAGGGATCACGCGAGGACGTCGGGCGCGAAGGTGACCCCTATGCAGTCGATTCCGAATCGTCTGGCCACTCACTCTCACACCAGTGTCTGTTTGAAGACGAGCGCTGATCTGATTTGCTGTGATGACACGATTTCTCAAGGCCAAGGTACGGATAAATCGATCCTGGGCTTGAGTTGTCGCCCTTGGTCGACCTGAGCGTGGTCTGTCCTGTACAGATTGTGTATCACGGTATCTGGACCATAGCCTGCTTATGACAGACTGAGAAACATTCATCGTCCGCGCCACAACCGCCTGTGTTGTGCCGATCTGTAGCATGCCAAGGGCACGTAACCTTTCATTTTGGGTAAGCCGACGCATATCAAAATTTGTTTTCTGGTCACTAAAACAATTAAACTGATGTTTCCACCCTGGAATTCAATGCCACAATGACTGTAACATCCAAAGTCAGAGTCGTGCAAATCTTGGGTTGGACCCCCATGATGATCCCAAGCATCACCTGCATTCCATGCGGTAGCTATTGGTGCGTTTGGGCGTCACATGTAACTGGAAATGTTTCTTCTGTTAGGTTCTATAGTGACTTTTTTCGTAGTCATTTGCATATTTTAGTATTATGCCCCCAAAATCAAATATCCCCTACTTTTTTTGAATAGTATATTAGAATAGCACACAGCAATATATATATAGCCTCTAGCTGGCGTGTAGTCGTATTTCAACACTTTACGTGGCTATATATCTTTAATTAAACATACACATTATGCAAGAGCTAAATCTGTCTATTGCCGATTTACTGCATAACTTTCCTTCACGATTTAACGATTAAGTGGATAATCGAGACTATGCTGTCTATCGTACTGACTTTAGTAATGATGATAGAGGCTAGGCGGAAATTTCAATCGCTTAGTTCTCGGTTCATATAGTGGATCAATTTGAATGAAATTTTCAGCAAATTGCCGTTACATTATCTAGTTTTTAACTATTATAGTGAGAACTACCAAATCCTTATCGAATCTCCCATATAATGTATCTTTAAACAAGCCAGGAGAGAATATTGACAAATCATATAAAGATAGGTTGCCCGGCAACGAATCATACGCCCACGGCAAAGTCGTCCGCCTAGTCAACAAGGGTTGGCGCATATTTTTTCTTTTGCCAGTAATGAAAACATTTACAAGATACTGAAATCTGATTCTGAGTATCAACTCATTAAACATACATTATGCAAGATCTAAACCTGTCTATTAAAGGTCTTTCTTTAGGCCTGAAATGTTATCTAAATTATTAATTAGACATTAATTAACTTATCCAGACCATAATCAACTCTCGACGTCATCGCTAGCCTGCGATATTTACTGGATTAGGATCCGATTTGCTGCCCAACTTTCATTAATGATTAAATCATGAAATGGATAATCGAGAATATGTTTTTTTATCGTACCGACTTTACTAATGATGATCGGGGCTAGGCCGAAAATTCAATCGCTAAATTTACGGTTCAGAGTGGATCAATTTGACTGAAATTTTCAGCAAATTCCCTTTACATTATCTAGTTAACTATTATAGTGAGAACTGCCAGCTCTGTATCTAATCTTAAACACTGTGTATAAATTTAAAGTCAATCGGATATTAACTTTAGCCTCTATCGTCAACATGCAATTTTAGAAGCCGGACCGACGGACGACCGACCGATGGACGGAGGACGGATGGGGGCGAGGGCAATATACGACCACATTTCAATGTGGGCATATAAAAATATAGACGCCAGGGTATTATCTGACGCATTTTCGGGTTCTCTAGAAACAACCTACGAAGGTGAAATGTCATATATTTTCTTTACGTCTTTAGGGATTGCTTGAAATAAGTTAGGATGACTTTCCGAAAATCAGATACATAAATTATTCATAAATTTAAACAACTTGCAGTCTGCATGGAAGAAACCCGCAGAGACCAAAGAACAGCTTCTAAAATACAATTTCTTAAAAGATGTTCATTATATGAATACAGAACTACACAAGTAGTGTTTTTGTCGAAAATAAAATTTTGTCAGGTGCCTTGAATCGTTTTACTGTCTAACGTGCTGCCCTCCTC